CACCTTTATTTTCAAGGTGGCCTGAACAGAGTGTTTTAGGGCAGCAAACCCTGGTCTCAGGCCACCTTGACTTTAGCTTGAAAACCACAGCTTTGAAGCCTCATGCGCGCCATACCAGAACTGTAGCTACTTGTAGCTACCCTGGGTCCGTATAAATAGTATGTTGCTATACCTCTTACACACCTATACAAGTTCAAAGCACGAATGAGACTTCAAGGCTGTGGATTGCTGTGCGTGTGTAGAGGTTCTCAAGCGGTTGACGGAAAGGGAACTTGAAGTACTATACCTGGTAGCTGCACTATAGCTACCCTAGGTCTCTCTACCTTGCAAGGTGCCAACTACACCTTTCCATTCAGATGATGCAAATGATGCATTTGGCATTTCTTGCATCACCACCCCTCAAAAATCACCTCCAACACAACCTCAAAAAACCTTCCCTCGGAGCACCCTCCTCCCCCAGCATGTGCTGAGTTGACGTACACCTTTCTCGGGCCACCCCCCCAGACCCCCTAACTACTCACTTCGTTCGCCAGACACAACTCCGCTAGCGCCTTCTACGAAGGCTGGCTTTCGTAATATATGTTCGCGCAAGTTGACGGCTGAGACCCAGTGCCTTCGACCCTATCCCAGGAACACACAGTAGATCCATGATCCCACGGGTCCCGATGCATCCCGAATCGGGGTACCTCCAATCCTGACTGCCTGACCGCCGCTTGATTTGTCTCGAACCTTCAGTGCTCAAGGCGTCGATCCAGCGACCCAGATCTAACCAGCCGTGGCGTTTGCGAACGATGTGGCGGCAGGCTTTGCAACGGGCCAGTGTAATCTTAAGCCATCATGCGAGATTCAGATCCAGATGTCTAGAGTAAGAATCTCAAGAATGAGTTGTTTGATGAAATGTTGAACTATGCTACGAACAACACATAGAACCCCCTAGCCTGGCACAGCGGCAGAGAAGTCAAGTGAATTAAGTGTCAGAAGCGAGACTTACCGCTTGGCGCCATCCTATTCCATCCTTTGAATCCAAGAAAGCGGTCTGGCAGGTCCGGCAGATCTCTGGACCCGGGGAAGCCCTTCTGTGACACACTCAAGGCCCAAGGCATGTGGAAAATACCAACCAACATCTGAAGGTCGAGTAGTTCCTGAGATGCACCTTGAGCCATTTGATGCCTGCCTTGATAGGAATGGACCATATGTTGGGAGGTTCGTGGAAAAAATCGGTCACTCAGGTTGCAGGTCTTTATCGGGCATTTCATGCGGCTACTATAGAGCAACCATGATCAAGAACACCGTTCTGCGCCACATCCGGTTGGGCGACTTCACAGAGTGATGTCTTCCGCCACCGACGGCCGCTGAAGTGCTCCCACATGAGTGCTCCCACTGATGGTGTGCCGACGTGGGCGACTGGGGCTTCCCAGGCCCAAACGGCTCCCATAGGAGGGCCTCGCAACGCATGTGCGACCATGGCGCATCTGTGGAGGGGTGGATGGTTGGAGCAACTGGGTGAACATGCTCTGATGGACATTTTGAGGGGCCTGGGATGGGCTGGGGCCCCAGAGCAGGTCGGATCTCCAAAGTCCTGGCAGCCTGGTCTGACCATGCCATAGGTCCGCAATCTGGCAGCGGGAGCCCGAATGCAACTAAACCCCGCCCACCAAGAAAAGAGCCACAAAACACCCTTCAAGGACTTCTTTGGTTGCGGGTGCCCATGGTGCCCATGGAGCCAGAGACCACTCCTAGATGAAGCCTTTTTGGCGGCACACCAGCCAGCGCTCCTGCGCACCCGGTGCCCCCCCCCCCCCCGCTAACGACCGCCCCCGCTAACGACCGCACGTCCCCGGTGGCCCCCGAGCCTCCGAGGCTTTTTGAAGTCCAACGTTTCGATTCGCATCACCAGCCTCGTCCGAAGCCGCGCACGCGAGGAGACGGTCGCCGAACGGAAGACGGGCAAGACGGCAAGACGGGATTCGCCATTGCGGGACGGTGGGAACGGT